TAGATAGATAGATAGATAGATAGATAGATAGATAGATAGATAGATAGGTGAATTTTCTAATTATAATTTACAATGTTAAGTGAGGATGAGGACTTGAGAATTGAAGAACTTGACATAGCAATACATCAAATGGTGAAAGGTAAATATCCAGGCCAGGGTTAACTGTGGAATTTTATACTTTCTTTTGGAAAGATTTACAAAAACAGCTATTTGAGGCCCTGCTGGAATGTATCAGACAATAATCTCTCTCCCACTATGAGACATGGTCTCGTTATTCTAATCCCCAAAGCCAACAAGGATCCCTTATCATTAGACAATTGGAGACCTATTACTCTTTTATGTACAGATTACAAACTTTTAGCTCTTGTTTATGCCAATCACTTAAACAATGCATTGGGGACGATTATTAAGGAATGCCAGTCGGCTTTCTTAAAGGGAGAAATATCCTTCATCATACTAGACTGATTCTTGACATGATTGACTATCGCAGTTTTATTGACAGTGACAGTTTGATTTTATTTCCTGATTTCTACAAGGCCTACAAACTCGTTGGAACACTGCTTTATTATGAAAACCTTAAATTATTTTGGCTTTGGGGAGAAATTTTGTAATGTAATCAGATTATTTTATACCAATATAAGTAGATCAGTCTCTCTGGACACGAGTTTGACCCCTAGTTTCTCTATGACAAGAAGTATCAGACAAGGCTGTCCATTCTCACTGAAATTATTTATATTAACAACTCAAATGCTTACTTTATTAATTACTCAGAATTCCAATTTGCATGGTATTAGCATTTTTGGCAAATAATTCAAGATAAGTCAATTTGCTGATGATACAACAATTTTTCTAAGAGACAAAACTATGGTAGACATAGCACTAAAATCTATTTTAACCTTTTTCGAGGCATCTGGTCTGTCGCTCAACAATGATAAATGTGAACTTCTGCCAATGTTTTTTGAACGTTTTTTGAATTTATCATGTCTTGGATCACTGAGAATCTTCACCAGCAACTTCTGCCAATCCATTCTAGCTCTGAGGCGTCTGTTGCCTCCATTAAAGTTAAGTCTGAAGTTAAATATCTGGGAATATTGATCTCAAAAAATTATTTTAGAAGAGAGGAGGAAAACATTAAAAGATGCTTGGATGGCATGAAGAGGTCCTTGAACCATTGGTTGACTAGAGATCTTACAATTTTTGGGCCATATCCAAGGCTGAAAGAGTGTCCAAATTGATTTATCCATGTCATTCTGTTTTTTCCTCTGACAAATACATAAAGAAAGCTACAAAGTCCATGCTCAATAATCCAACATTTTTCAGTCAGGTCATCAGGACAGATGACCTGACTGAAAAATGTTGGATTGTATACCTGGATTATTGAGCATGGACTTTGTCGTTTTCAACCAGTTTGACACGACTGTCAACAAGGAAGAGGGCCGGCAATGGAGGAGAGGGCGTGGCAAAGAGACCATCTTAGCACCAACATAACTGGTTTGTTCCACTTTGGAGTAAGCTGTTGGGGGAAGAATCGGTTTTGTTGTGTGTTTCCTTCACTGATGAAACCTTCCAGATTAAAAGCGAAACATTTCAGCACCAAAAAAGAAACTGACCAGATGACCTGACTGAAAACTGTTGGATAAAGAAAGCTAATTCAATAATCTTTCAATTAATACGGAGGAACAAAACTCACTATTTAAGATGATCTCAACTTATCAAATATTATGATAAGGGTGGTATTAAAGCTTTAGATTCTGAGGCCTTAAGTGGCTCATTCAGAATAAATTGGCTGAAGACCTATTTGTCATCTCCCAACTCTCTGTGG